CGCTCTACCACTGAGCTAAGAAGGCCTACTCAATAATATGCATGTATAGTTTGAGGAGAGGATATTGGATATAAACCAATATAATCTTGTTTGGAAGAATTTATTTTAGAGATTATGACATATTTTAAGTTGAAACCAAGCTATAACTTCTATTTGGTAAATAAAGAAAGTTTAAATTAATAGTTTACTTTGAAACGCTACCAAAGTACATTTAAAATGAGATGAAAATTGAATTTTCAACTACTTACGAGCGGGTTTATGGGTATATAATGAAAATTTTAACCACTTATGGATTCAACAAATATACAAATATGACAAAATTAATATAAATCAAATTTTTAACCACTTACGAGATCAAGAAAATACAACTTGTTAAACTACAATTTCAATCACCGTCTGTGGGGATCGAACCCACGACCACGTGGTTAAAAGCCACGCGCTCTACCACTGAGCTAAGAAGGCCTACTCAATAATATGCATATATAGTTTAGGAGAGGATATTGGATATAATCCAATATTATCTTGTTTGGTAGAATTTATTTTAGAGATTATGACATATTTTAAGTTGAATCCAAGCTATAACTTCTATTTGGTAAAACAAAGAAAGTTTAAATAACTAAGTTTAATTTGAAACGCTACCCTAAGTAGCATTTAAAATGAGATGAAAATTGAATTTTCAACTACTTACGAGAGGGTTTATGGTATATAAATAAAAATTTTAACCACTTATGGATTCAACAAATATAGAAATATGACAAAATTAGTATGAATCAAATTTTTAACCACTTACGAGACGAAGAAAATACAACTTTGATAATGTTACAATTTCATTCACCGTCTGTGGGGATCAAACCAACAACCACGTGGTTAAAAGCCACGCGCTCTACCACTGAGCTAAGAAGGCCAACTCAATTATATACATGTATAATGTGAGAGAGGATATTGGATATAAACGAATATTTATCTTGTTTGGAAGAATTTATTTTAGGGTTATGACATATTTTAAGTTGAAACCATGCTATAACTTCTATTTGGTAAAACAATGAAAGTTTTAAATAATAGTTTACTTTGAAACGCTACCCAAAGTAGCATTTAAAATGAGATGAAAATTAAATTTTCAACTACTTACGAGCGGGTTTATGGGTATATAAATGAAAATTTTAAACACTTATGGATTCAACAAATATACAAATATGACAAAATTAATATAAATCAAATTTTTAACCACTTACGAGATCAAGAAAATACAACTTTGTTAAACCAACAATTTCAATCACCGTCTGTGGGGATCGAACCCACGACCACGTGGTTAAAAGCCACGCGCTCTACCACTGAGCTAAGAAGGCCACTCAATAATATGCATATATAGTTTAGGAGAGGATATTGGATATAATCCAATATTACTTGTTTGGTAGAATTTATTTTAGAGATTATGACATATTTTAAGTTGAATCCAAGCTATAACTTCTATTTGGTAAACAAAGAAAGTTTAAAATACTAGTTAATTTTGAAACGCTACCCTAAGTAGCATTTAAAATGAGATGAAAATTGAATTTTCAACTACTTACGAGAGGGTTTATGGGTATATAAATAAAAATTTTAACCACTTATGGATTCACAAATATAGAAATATGACAAAATTAGTATGAATCAAATTTTTAACCACTTACGAGACGAAGAAAATACAACTTTGATAATGTTACAATTTCATTCACCGTCTGTGGGGATCAAACCAACAACCACGTGGTTAAAAGCCACGCGCTCTACCACTGAGCTAAGAAGGCCAACTCAATTATATACATGTATAATGTGAGAGAGGATATTGGATATAAACCAATATTTATCTTGTTTGGAAGAATTTATTTTAGGGGTTATGACATATTTTAAGTTGAAACCATGCTATAACTTCTATTTGGTAAAACAATGAAAGTTTTAAATAATAGTTTACTTTGAAGCGCTACCCAAAGTAGCATTTAAAATGAGATGAAAATTAAATTTTCAACTACTTACGAGCGGGTTTATGGGTATATAAATGAAAATTTTAACCACTTATGGATTCACAAATATACAAATATGAAAAAATTAATATAAATCAAATTTTTAACCACTTACGAGATCAAGAAAATACAACTTGTTAAACCTACAATTTCAATCACCGTCTGTGGGAATCGAACCCACGACCACGTGGTTAAAAGCCACGCGCTTTACCACTGACCTAAGAAGGCCTACTCAATAATATGCATATATAGTTTAGGAGAGGATATTGGATATAATCCAATATTATCTTGTTTGGAAGAATTTATTTTAGAGATTATGACATATTTTAAGTTGAATCCAAGCTATAACTTCTATTTGGTAAAACAAAGAAAGTTTAAAATACTAGTTAATTTTGAAAGGCTACCCTAAGTAGCATTTAAAATGAGATGAAAATTGAATTTTCAACTACTTACGAGAGGGTTTATGGGTATATAAATAAAATTTTAACCACTTATGGATTCAACAAATATAGAAATATGACAAAATTAGTATGAATCAAATTTTTAACCACTTACGAGACGAAGAAAATAAAACTTTGATAATGTTACAATTTCATTCACCGTCTGTGGGGATCAAACCAACAACCACGTGGTTAAAAGCCACGCGCTTCTACCACTGGAGCTAAGAGGCCAACTCAATTATATACATGTATAATGTGAGAGAGGATATTGGATATAAACGAATATTTATCTTGTTTGGAAGAATTTATTTTTAGGGGTTATGACATATTTTAAGTTGAAACCATGCTATAACTTCTATTTGGTAAAACAATGAAAGTTTTAAATAATAGTTTACTTTGAAGCGCTACCCAAAGTAGCATTTTAAAATGAGATGAAAATTAAATTTTCAACTACTTACGAGCGGGTTTATGGGTATATAAATGAAAATTTTAACCACTTATGGATTCAACAATTATACAAATATGACAAAATTAATATAAATCAAATTTTTAACCACTTACGAGATCAAGAAAATACAACTACGTTAAACCTACAATTTCAATCACCGTCTGTGGGGATCGAACCCACGACCACGTGGTTAAAAGCCACGCGGCTCTACCACTGAGCTAAGAAGGCCAACTCAATAATATGCATATATAGTTTAGGAGAGGGATATTGGATATAATCCAATATTACCTTGTTTGGTAGAATTTATTTTAGAGATTATGACATATTTTAAGTTGAATCCATGCTATAACTTCTATTTGGTAAAACAAAGAAAGTTTAAAATACTAGTTAATTTTGAAACGCTACCCTAAGTAGCATTTAAAATGAGATGAAAATTGAATTTTCAACTACTTACGAGAGGGTTTATGGGTATATAAATAAAAATTTTACCACTTATGGATTCATCAAATATAGAAATATGACAAAATTAGTATGAATCAAATTTTTAACCACTTACGAGACGAAGAAAATAAAACTTTGATAATGTTACAATTTCATTCACCGTCTGTGGGGATCAAACCAACAAACCACTGGTGTTAAAAGCCACGCGCTCTACCACTGAGCTAAGAAGGCCAACTCAATTATATACATGTATAATGTGAGAGAGGATATTGGATATAAACGAATATTTATCTTGTTTGGAAGAATTTATTTTAGGGGTTATGACATATTTTTAAGTTGAAACCATGCTATAACTTCTATTTGGTAAAACAATGAAAGTTTTAAATAATAGTTTACTTTGAAGCGCTACCCAAAGTAGCATTTAAAATGAGATGAAAATTAAATTTTTCAACTACTTACGAGCGGGTTTATGGGTATATAAATGAAAATTTTAACCACTTATGGATTCCACAAATATACAAATATGAAAAAATTAATATAAATTAAATTTTTAACCACTTATGAGATCAAGAAAATACAACTTTGTTAAACCTAAAATTTCAATCACCGTCTGTGGGAATCGAACCCACGACCACGTGGTTAAAAGCCACGCGCTTTACCACTGACCTAAGAAGGCCAACTCAATAATATGCATATATAGTTTAGGAGAGGATATTAGATATAATCCAATATTATCTTGTTTGGAAGAATTTATTTTAGAGATTATGACATATTTTAAGTTGAATCCAAGCTATAACTTCTATTTGGTAAAACAAAGAAAGTTTAAAATACTAGTTAATTTTGAAAGGCTACCCTAAGTAGCATTTAAAATGAGATGAAAATTGAATTTTCAACTACTTACGAGAGGGTTTATGGGTATATAAATCAAAAATTTTAACCACTTATGGATTCACCAAATATAGAAATATGACAAAATTAGTATGAATCAAATTTTTAACCACTTACGAGACGAAGAAAATAAAACTTTGATAATGTTACAATTTCATTCACCGTCTGTGGGGATCAAACCAACAACCACGTGGTTAAAAGCCACGCGCTCTACCACTGAGCTAAGAAGGCCAACTCAATTATATACATGTATAATGTGAGAGAGGATATTGGATATAAACGAATATTTATCTTGTTTGGAAGAATTTATTTTAGGGGTTATGACATATTTTAAGTTGAAACCATGCTATAACTTCTATTTGGTAAAACAATGAAAGTTTTAAATAATAGTTTACTTTGAAGCGCTACCCCAAAGTAGCATTTAAAATGAGATGAAAATTAAATTTTCAACTACTTACGAGCGGGTTTATGTGTATATAAATGAAAATTTTAGCCACTTACGGATTCAAGAAATATACAAATATGAAAAATTAATATAAATCAAATTTTTAACCACTTACGAAATCAAGAAAATACAGCTTTGTTAAAACAACAATTTCAATCACCGTCTGTGGGGATTGAACCCACGACCACGTGGTTAAAAGCCACGCGCTCTACCACTAAGCTAAGAAGGCCTACTCAATAATAGCATGTATAGTTGAGGAAGGATATTGGATATAAACCAATATATATCTTGTTTGGAAGAATTTTATTTTCGAGATTATGACATATTTTAAGTTGAAACCAAGCTATAACTTCTATTTGTAAAATAAAGAAAGTTTAAAATTATAGTTTACTTTGAAACGCTACCCAAAGTTGCATTTAAAATGAGATGAAAATTGAATTTTCAACTACTTACGAGCGGGTTCAGGGGCATATAAATGAAAATTTTAACCACTTATGGATTCAACAAATATACAAATATGACAAAATTAATATAAATCAAATTTTAACCACTTACGAGATCAAGAAAATACAACTACGTTAAACCTACAATTTCAATCACCGTCTGTGGGGATCGAACCCACGACCACGTGGTTAAAAGCCACGCGCTTTACCACTGAGCTAAGAAGGCCTACTCAATAATATGCATATATAGTTTAGGAGAGGATATTGGATATAATCCAATATTATCTTGTTTGTAGAATTTATTTTTAGAGATTATGACATATTTTAAGTTGAATCCAATGCTATAACTTCTATTTGGTAAAACAAAGAAAGTTTAAAATACTAGTTAATTTTGAAACGCTACCCTAAGTAGCATTTTAAAATGAGATGAAAATTGAATTTTCAACTACTTACGAGAGGGTTTATGGGTATATAAATAAAAATTTTTAACCACTTATGGATTCAACAAATATAGAAATATGACAAAATTAGTATGAATCAAATTTTTAACCACTTACGAGACGATGAAAATACAACTTTGATAATTTTACAATTTCATTCACCGTCTGTAGCAGATCAAACCAACAACCACGTGGTTAAAAGCCACGCGCTCTACCACTGAGCTATGAAGGCCAACTCAATTATATACATGTATAATGTGAGAGAGGATATTGGATATAAACCAATATTTATCTTGTTTGGAAGAATTTATTTTAGGGGTTATGACATATTTTAAGTTGAAACCATGCTATAACTTTCTATTTTGGTAAAACAATGAAAGATTTAAATAATAGTTTACATTTGAAACGCTACCCAAAGTAGCATTTAAAATGAGATGAAATTAAATTTTCAACTACTTACGAGCGGGTTTATGTGTATATAAATGAAAAATTTTAGCCACTTATGGATTCACAAATATAGAAATATGAAAATTAGTATAATCAAATTTTACGCACTTACGAAATCAAGAAAATACAAGCTTTGTTAAAAGCTACAATTTCAATCACCGTCTGTGGGGATGAACCCACGACCACGTGGTTAAAAGCCACGCGCTCTTACCACTGAGCTAAGAAGGCCTACTCAATTAATATGCATGTATAGTTGAGGAGAGGATATTGGATATAAACCAATATATACTTGTTTGGAAGAATTTATTTTAGAGATTATGACATATTTTAAGTTGAAACAAAGCTATAACTTCTATTTGGTAAAATAAAGAAAGTTTTAAATAATAGTTTACTTTGAAACGCCTTACCCAAAGTAACATTTAAAATGAGATGAAAATTGAATTTTCAACTACTTACGAGCGGGTTTATGTGTATATAAATGAAAATTTTAGCCACTTATGGATTCAAGAAATATACAAATATGAAAAAATTAATATAAATCAAATTTTTAACCACTTACGAGATCAAGAAAATACAACTTTGTTAAAACCTACAATTTCAATCACCGTCTGTGGGGATCGAACCCACGACCACGTGATTAAAATCCACGCCTCTACCACTGAGCTAAGAAGGCCTACTCAATAATATGCATATATAGTTTAGGAGAGAATATGGATATAATCCAATATTATCTTGTTTTGGTAGAATTTATTTTAGAGATTATGACATATTTTAAGTTGAATCCAAGCTATAACTTCTATTTGGTAACAAAGAAAGTTTAAAATACTAGTTAATTTTGAAACGCTACCCTAAGTAGCATTTAAAATGAGATGAAAATTGAATTTTCAACTACTTACGAGAGGGTTTATGGGTATATAAATAAAAATTTTAACCACTTATGGATTCAACAAATATTTAAATATGGCAAAATTAGTATGAATCAAATTTTTAACCACTTACGAGACGAAGAAAATACAACTTTGATAATGTTACAATTTCATTCACCGTCTGTGGGGATCAAACCAACAACCACGTGTGTTAAAAGCCACGCGCTCTACCACTGAGCTAAGAAGGCCAACTCAATTATATACATGTATAATGTGAGATAGGATATTGGATATAAACCAATATTTATCTTGTTTGGAAGAATTTATTTTAGGGGTTATGACATATTTTAAGTTGAAACCATGCTATAACTTCTATTTGGTAAAACAATGAAAGTTTTCTATAATAGTTTACTTGAAACGCTACCCAAAGTAGCATTTAAAATGAGATGAAAATTAAATTTTCAACTACTTACGAGCGGTTTATGTGTATATAAATGAAAATTTTAGCCACTTATGGATTCAAGAAATATACAAAATATGACAAAATTAGTATAATCAAATTTTTAACCACTTACGAGATCAAGAAAATACAACTTTGAAAATGTTACAATTTCAATCACCGTCTGTGGGGATCAAACCAACGACCACGTGGTTAAAAGCCACGCGCTCTACACTGAGCTAAGAAGGCCACTCAATAATATGCATGTATAGTTGAGGAGAGGATATTGGATATAAACCAATATTATCTTGTTTGGAAGAATTTATTTTAGAGATTATGACATATTTTAAGTTGAAACCAAGCTATAACTTCTATTTGGTAAAAAAGAAAGTTTTAAATAATAGTTTACTTTGAAACGCTACCCAAAGTAGCATTTAAAATGAGATGAAAATTGAATTTTCAACTACTTACGAGAGGGTTTATGGGTATATAAATGAAAATTTTAACCACTTATGGATTCAACAAATATACAAATATGACAAAATTAATATAAATCAAATTTTAACCACTTACGAGATCAAGAAAATACAACTTTGTTAAACCTACAATTTCAATCACCGTCTGTGGGGATCGAACCCACGACCACGTGGTTAAAAGCCACGCGCTCTACCACTGAGCTAAGAAGCCTATCAATAATATGCATATATAGTTTAGGAGAGGATATTGGATATAAACCAATATTATCTTGTTTGGAGAATTTATTTTAGAGATTATGACATATTTTAAGTTGAAACCAAGCTATAACTTCTATTTGGTAAA